CTAACGAAAATTCATGCTATATATCCCTACTCAGGACACTCACTGAGCAAATAGCAGATAAGATCAATCAATAGCATTTCCTAGGCTAAGGCATCATGAATCAGGCAACTCTAGCTCTAAATCCTTGAATACCTAGCCTATTTTCTAGCATGCAACTCTAATATCTCATAAGTATCTCATAATATAAACAAGTAATGGTATTTTGGGAAATCACCGTTCAGGCTCTGGCTGATTTTACACACTGCTATGTCTCGTTTTCTCTTTAAAACTATTACTCGTTTTAGAAAAATCGTTTCTTTTTAGAAAATTTTCTCAAATCCTCAATTTGAGTCTAGACATACCCGAAAGTACATCCGAATCCCTCAAACCAAGGCTCTGATACCAACTTGTAACACTGTAAATTTTCAAACAAATTTTTCATTTTTAAAATCACATAAAACCCAATATCACATTTCTCAAAAACCACAATGTATAAGTTGCCAAAACACAAGTCAACAATTATTGGTAATATCCCAAAATCCTAAAAAAACATAAACTCCAACTGGTGTGTACAATCAAGCCGACGCCTTCATGCGATCATGAGAAGTACCTGAAACACATATCACACAACACTGTAAGCACAAAGCTTAGTGAGTTCCCCAAAATACCATGCACAAATAATTAGCCTCTCATGACTGTATCTCGATAAGGAGCCTCCAGTCCATGTGTCTCAGTGAGGACCCGCCGGTCTCACAACTCAGGTTGGACCCTCCGGTCCTAACCAATAAAGCACATAATAATATACAACATAAATCACAAAGACAAATGCATAATATCACATAACTCAACATAAGCATATAAGACCCTCCGGTCACACTGTATTACCACTCAGGTAAGTATAGTGAGAAGACTCACCTCGTAAGTAAAGCAAGTATGTCTCGTACTTGAACCACCGGTCTAGCCTCCGCCTAACATATATCGTAATTAACTCTAATTAATAAACGACCCCCAACGATGTTAGGCTAAACCCTCTACAAATCCTCAGAATGATAAAAGACCATTTTACCCTTCCATGGCCTCCAAAGTCCACAGTTTGACCAAACCCTAAAAGTCAACAAAAGTCAACCCAAGCGCGTACGCTGCGCGTACAGCCCTTTACGCTGGACGTACTACATCACCATCCATGCATCGGGAAACTTCGACGCTACGCTGCGTGTATCTGGGAGTACGCTCAGCGTACGTCCCTGACTTATTTTTTCCACTCTCCTGGTCTTAATCCGTTAAGACCATAGCTATAATCTCAGATCTCGACTCACTAAAGGCTAATACTCCAGAAAGTTTGTGACTTTACGCCTTAGCATGGCTGAGCATGTCTAAAAATCATAAACTCTCACTCTTTACTCACAAAAGTACTCATATATCATGCGTCGGGAGATCTTGACGTCCAAGATCCCATTTTTATGAGTCCACTCAACTAGAGACACTTAAAGGGACAAGTATTATGCTCAGAAGTTCAACAAACTCATAAAGCTTCAAGCTTTGGGACATAAACCCTAAAATGAACCACAATATGCACAAATCAAAACAATGAGAAAGCTTTGAGCTTGATACCTCCAAATGATGCACCAACCACAGGGAAACTCAGATCCAAAGCTTGGACACCAACTCTACTCTCTTCAAAGCTCCTTCTTCACCCAAAGAATCCCACAAAGATCACTCAAAAGCTTCAAATGGCCACTCAAGCAAGAAAACAGAGATTAGGGTTTTGAGGGGAGTTGAAGACTGTGGCTGGAAATGAGGCCATCATGTTCCTTAAATAGGGACACACCACACAATTAGGGTTTTCACTCTGAGCCTAGTACGCCCAGCGTACCCTCTGGTACGCCCAGCGTACTAGGTGGCCTCCGCGTCCATAATACGCACATGAGTACGCTGAGCGTACACATGCGTACGCCCTGCGTTCTCAGCTACCACCTTTTCTCAATTAAGGGCCAAACTTGACAACTACAATAAAGTAAGGGCTATTGAGAAATACTTGGTCTCGGGATGTTACAAATATTCTAATCCATATATTTGTTCTTGAATGGCCCATCAAGAGCCCAATCACTAAAACCCAATAGAAAGGCCCAACTCCAGGCCCAACCAAAATTAGGGTTTCTCACATGAAATGACGATTAGGGTTAAGTATTCTTACTTAACCCATTAAGGACTTAATCCATCACTCCTTTAGGCCATTCATACAATGTAGTTGGACATAAATCATAATTCCAGTCTAACAGTCCAAACGCGGGTCCCGGCAATCCAAAACTAACACTTTCCAAAATTAGGGTTTTCTAAACCCTAATTAGGGTTTCTAACCCAAGCATATGCCAATTAGTCAAACGATTAGGCTTTTAGGTCAATTAGGGCTTCATTAGGTCAAGCACCACCCACTGCCACCTCGGGCGGTGGTGGTCGACAGCGGTGGTGGTGGTTTTTCCATCAATATTTCTGCCAAAAATGTTAAACAAGTGCCATTCTACTAAACATACTCATAACATCACAACATACACACACATCCACCACCATACGTCAGCTGGTAGTGGTGAAGCGGTGGTCGCCACCACCTCACGGTCGTGACAGTGGATTTCCGTCCAAAAAAGAACACACACGCAATCGTTAGACTTGTAGCAGCAACACACGACACTAATACACATTAGAAACGCAGAAACACACCCGCCATGGCTGCCCTCGAGGTGGAAGCGACGGTCGGAGCGGCAGCAACATCGCACCACAGCTGCTCGGAGTGGCGGCGTTCGACGGCCTTAGCGACACTGGTGACGTGGCTGAAGGCGAAACAGAAGAAAAAGGAGGAGGAGGAGGAGGAACGTCCGAGAACGACAGCAACACTGCCCTGACGTCGTCTCCGACAGCCTTGGCGTTGCTCGGTGGTGGTTCTTCCGTCTGTGCATGACGTCACCAGCAGCAAGGGCCACGATGGCATCTCGATGGTGAGGCAGCAGGCGGCGGTCGTTCGGAACTTCGTCTGTCGGAAAACAAGAGGAAAACAGGTGGTGACGGCGGCCAGCGGTTAGGAGGTATAAGGTGGCGGCTGGAGGGGTTACATTAGGGTTAGGGTTTAGCATGGATGGGTTTTAAACGGGAAGGAAATGCCACCGGGTTCAAGTCCCGCATTCTTTTCAAACTTGTGCTCTTTTATCCAATTCTGGCCCCTCCCCATCAAATCTTTTTTAAAACAACTCCCATATTTACCATTCAGCCCCTCACTTTAAAATCTTTTTCAATTTAAATCCAAAATTTACCCTTTAGCCCCAGCCTCCAAGAATCCTTTCATAATAAGTCCAATATTTTACCAAACACCCCCTGTCTTCAAAAAATCTTGCAAAATAAATCCCAAAATTTCACTTTAACCCCCGAATAATCTAAATTATAACATTTGGCTCCCCAAAACCAACACCCCACTAAATATTATGGATTTTAGGGCTACTATTCATTCATCAATTTTATCTATTTATTTTATTTAATAAACGGGATGTTACAAGTAATCCATATTCCATTCACCATAAGACCATGCAAATTATTTCGCCTATTTTTAATTTTGATAGAGTTATGGAAGAATCTTGAGTTCTCGTCACCATTGCTGATCCATTTGACCCTAGACTTCTGGATCAGATCTAGCTTCGTCATTTTCTCAATTTCAATAATGCGCTGCTTTCTCTCTTTCCGATTCACGATCTCCAAATCCGTTACCAGTCTATCCTCAACGGCTATGTCAAGGTCACTCAGTTTCCTTTTTAAATCAATTAATTCCTTGTTTTCTTTTTTCGAACTCCACACGTCTCCATGATTTTATAGAATCATTGAAAAAGAGAAGTTTATCAGAAAGATACCAGTCAACAGACCCACCTCCATTGAATCCATCCCAAGCTTTTTTTTACCATATAATCGAAATCACCTCTACATAACCAAGAATTAAAGTACCTAAAAGGAGGAGCGCCAAAGTCCATATAGGAATTACGAAGAACAAATGGGGAGTGATCAAAGAATTCTCTCGGGAGGGCAGTAACGGATGTCGAGGGAAAAGTCACCATGAAGTTAGAGCAGACCAAAAAGTGATCGGGCTTGCTAAGTTTGCATCCGTCTTCACAAAAATAAGTGAACCTTCTTCCTCCCATATTGAGGTCCAGTAATCCCGCATCCCTGATGAATTTATTGAAACAAGCAAAAAATTTTGGGCAAAAGGTCGAATTAAAACGTTCTTCAGGTCTCCTCACAGCATTAAAATCTCCAAATAACACCCAGTTGTCGAGTCTTGAGTTCATCAGGTTGAAAAGATTTGCCCAAATGATCTTTTTTTCTGAAGGGGGACTTGCGGGGCGTATACGTTTACAAGGATAGTCTCACCGACAATACCATTCCAGTATCCAACGATAGCCAAGAAGTGTCTATCCTTGATGATTGTGATGTCCTAGAAAAGGCTTTTATTGTAGAAGAAAATAATACCACCTGAGTTACCATTTGATTCAACAAAATCAATGCCCAAATCCGTGGAACCCCACCAAATACCAATGTCGGGAGGAAGAGAAGAGATTCTAGATACTTGAATACCACAAAAAGAAATTTTATTTTCCATCTTTAACCTTCTGAGCCACTCGATTTTATGGGATTTACCCAAACCCATACCCCTTATATTTAGAGAGAGCAAGTTTGTGAGGGTACCTTTTATCACCTCCAGATTTTACAGCTTCCAATAGAGCAGCACACCCTCTATCAATTTGGAACCCAATCTTGTTACCAACTTCAATCATGTAATCCAGATCAACTAAAGATGTGGAACAGGAATGTAATGGCGAGTCTAGTCCAGCCATTCCTTGGTTCGAATGTTAAGAGGAAGCTTGCGTATTAAGATTAATGGAGATTTAAGTAACCGACTCCGTGCAAATATCGGTATTTAGAGGAACACGCCTCGAAGCAGGTAAATTGCTAGATTGACTGCCAAATTGATCTCCCCTCTTTTTTTGTTAGGTGCGATGTCTCTTAACAGCCGAGTCACCAGGCTCAAACTCTAGGTTGCTAGCATTAAAGTTTGATATTGGGCTATAAATGTGTTCGGGAATACCGTGCCCACCATTAGAGGATCCATCATTCCCGAGACATGCATCGTGGGGATTATTTGATCCAGGAACAATAACAGTGGGACCACCTAGGGATTCACAAACACTATTAATCTTTTCTTTAGAATTAATCCCCGCCGAAATACCAAGACCACATGCACCCATATCCCCATGCGCCGTTTCGAGATTCTCAGCATGAAACTGCGACTCTTCCCCTTCCGCCTGACCACGAGAGTTTATCGGAGGTGTTGAGAGAAAAACTTTGAGACACACTTGAACAAACGTTAGAACAAGTATATTGCGGAATAGTTAATCTCGAAGGATCTAAAAGCTCAACAATAATATTAATAAGTTAGAGTTAGATAGTTAGAGAGTTAGTTGCGGAAAAGTAAAGAAATGGAAATGACAACAATTGTTGTATCAAGTATACACATAAGTTGATTCATAACGAGGAATGCATTCAAGCCAAGTTAATAAGTGAGATCAAACTTAGTGATTAAGTCACAAGAGACTTGCTCCGAAGAGAGATTGTAATCAGTTATATTCTAGTAAAGTTTGAGAGTAAGGAGAGATGCATAATCAGATAGAGAGATAGAAAAGATAGCTTCAGAGTTGTATTGAATAAGTGAGAATGAGCTCTATTTATAGAGACTCAAAGAATTATATTTGATTCACTCTCTAAGAGTAGCCATGCAAGGCCTACTGGACAATAGAGAGTATTACAGAAAGATAGATAAACTAAGTAAAGTGAGAAGACTGCGGTTGGCTAGATGACTTCGGGTGAGGCTGCTGATGGGAGCTTGACTGCGGATGCTTGTGGGCTGCGGTAGCTGAAGTTCAAGAGGGTCACTTTTCATGATTCAACAGGAGGTATGGGCGCCATCTCCAATTCGACGGCCTAAAAATTAGGATCCAATCCGATCTCGCCATCTTCTAAATCCATCCCGCTATGTTTCCATGTATCCGAAATTCCGTCAACATCCTCTTCATCTTCCTCAAAATCAGCATGCGAACCAGACGAGAAATATTTGAACATAACCCATTCGTCATCAATTTCAAAAATGTCGAGTCTCTGAGTTGCCCCAACAAAGGAAATGCTTACTTCATCGTTGATTTTCTCCGATTTGCAATAAGGATGCATAATTTCCCGTAAGAGATATCGTACTTGTTCTAAAAGGAACTGATGTTAACCAAAACCTTTCCAAAGTTCCTTGCAATAGCAGCAAAGTTTGATTCGTCCCAAGCAAGAAACAGGAGACTAGTGATTTTTATCCATGTAATCCTTTCAAAACGAACACTCTTATCTCCAAGGAAATCAGTCCTGTTGAACCATTTGAGCCATAAACGTTTGTTTGCTTTGAAAATTTCATCCGCTTTTTCAGACTTGAACTTGACAATAATTTGCATGCCGCCAAGATATTTTGTTTCAACAACATCGTAGCCATCCAACACCAGCATGTAGGGGAAGTTACAGAGCGTGTAGAAACATTTGGCTTCTCCCACAAGAACGGATTTTCCAGCCCAATCCTACAGTTCCTGGATACCACGAAAGCATGATAGGAGGAGGAGAAGGCGGTAGAGTAGCGTTCACCCTTCCTTTAGCTACATCAGCAAATGAACGAGAATCCCTGGTGGCTGGTGGGAAGCTTCTAGGAGCACCGATGGCTGGTCTTACAGGCACCACCCTAAAAGCTGGGTGGCGAGGATGTCTAGCAAGGTTAGTTGCCAACTTCCTACCCCTACACAAAATTTTATTCATCCCCTATTCGATTTCCTCCGGTCTTTCAACATTTGAGAATTTCACGAAAGCAAAGAAAGATCCAGTGACGTCCTTTCTTCCTGCGATTTCCCAAGTAGGCGCATAGTTTCCATAACTCAGACTTCGTCACATCTCCGGGAAGATTGGAGATGAAAAAAAAGGTGAGGGAAGAATCATCAACCCCACCTGGAGACCTTTTTCTGGTCGAGCCTTTTCGTCTCACTTCTCTCCACTCTTTCACCATTTCTTGCTAAAATGTTCATTTACCGAAGAATATTTTGTTTGGTCTGTTTAAAATAGGGTAATATTACTAGTAATTACCGGTAATATTACCCTATTATGAAAAGGTCAAACAAGTTTATTTTTCAAACATGTATGGAAAAACATGGTTACCTAAATATGGACAAAAAACCAAAGTTCTTTACCAAAAATCATAGCTTAAAAATGCAAAGAACTATTATGGAATGTGTGTACTTTATTTCCAGTGTTCGTTTGTGGGTGATGATGTTAGGTCTATTTACATGATCTAAACAACATGAAACACTTTTTGGCAACATAGCATGACTACACGACGTGGCATCACCGCATGAAAGAATCGTCTGACAACATTGTATGGAAACACAACCTAGCCTTGCTAGCTGAGCCGGGCTGACCCAAGACCTGACCTAATTGTCCCTTGACCTAGCTCTATAAATAGGATACATCATCCTCCATGTGGAGGATATCTCATTCTCATACATGAGCCTCTACCGTATACATATATTCTTCCCACCAAGATAGTTTTCTCTATCCAGGAGAAACCATTTCGACATACACATTGATATAACTTGATCGTCGGAGTCTAATCCTGGAGCACAATCCATGGGGTGGTTCTAACGGTTTTGTTATTTGATAGCAGCTAGGAATCAAATCGGAAACTCGCTAACGTCACCTACTCAAGATCTATGATACATATCCTACACCAAGACTTGATGACCCGATTCCATGTCACATCAGTGAGACTTAGCATAAAGAACTCAATATTACCAAAATGGGTAACAAACTTTATTTTTTGTCCATATTTAGGCAACCATTTTTTTTTCGTACATATTTGACCTGTAAATTTGTTTAATTTGTTCAAAACATGGTAATATCACCGGTAATTACCCGTAATATAATCCTATTTTAAACAGGACAAACAATTTTACTGATCAAACGTGTAAAAAAACATAGTTAACTAAATTTTGACAAAAAAAAAATCGTTACCCTCTTGGATCATTAACCCTAAAAACAAAACAGATAAGACTCAATTTCCCTTATATCTACGGTTAAATATCCTAATAATAATGTTTGCACAAAGTTAAATTTATCTTTCATTACTGATTATATATTTTTATATCATCTTTTTAGATGCTAAAACAGTGTACAATTTATATGTATTGTAATTAATACTTCAGCGTTGAATGTCTCAAAAATGTTAGTTTTATAAATGTAATTCGGTGCAACACTTTTGAAGTGTGGATAAGGTATCTCATCACCTTTAACAAGTATATTTTATTGTTGTTTGAAGTATAACGTTTAGATAAATTGGCTTGATATCATTTACTATATTAGTAAGACAATTATAAGGATTTCATTCCACCTAATACCATATTTAATTTATATAAAAACGTTGATGTAGATATTTTTTTTAATCGAAAACTTAACATATTAAATTTGACAACACTTACAATATTCAAATATGATACTTAAATATTTAAATATGACACTTGTTAAAGTCGGGGTGTTTATCAAGCCATAAAAAAACATATAATCGTTTGCACGGCATCAACGCACACCGCATAACACGATTTATATATTTTACGGTGCAGTTTGTAATTTTGTTAAATCGTATTATGCTATCAAGTTTGCGATTTTTTAAGTACAAACTTGATATTAATATATTCAGATTGTCCATATATAAACAGAAAGTTAGCATATTCACCTATATGCAATTAATCAACTCACAACCAATGTTTTAAAAACCGGTTTTTTAATTGAACCGATCGGGTGACGTTTTCCGGTTCAACCGGTTTAACCGGTTCAACCGGATGGTCAAACCAGTTCTATATTTTTATATGTTTTTAATTATTCTGCATACATTGATTACAAAACTTGTCATTTTTTTAGTATTACAAACGTAAATAGAATGCAACATATAAAAACAATCACTATAGAAGCCAAAATCAAACAAAGAAGTCCAAAACAAACACAAAAATCCAAGACTGTCCGGTTCAATCCGGTCCATTCCGGTTCAGTTCAGCCGGTTGAACCGGTTTTTTACCAAAACCGGCCGGTTCAATCCGGTCAGGAAATTGTTATAAAACCGGTCCAAATCGAACCGTCCTCACCTCCGGTTCCCGGTTCGACCGGTTCAACCGGCCGGTTCGAACCGGTTTTTAAAACACTGCTCACAACTCAACTAATCCCGGATCAAATTAAATAATTAATAATAAAACTGGTGATGGAATTTACGATTATGAAGTATTCTTGGATCTAATGTTTTTATTTTTATGAAATTAAGTAAATATGTTGTAGGTGTAAATCAATTTAAGAATACTAATATATCTTTAAAATTGTCTACAAACAATAATTACTCCATGGTATTAGGGTTGCAAACAAAGTGGGGCAATTGCAGTGTTTTAAAAACCGGTTCAAACCGGCCGGTTGAACCGGTCGAACCGGGAACCGGAGGTGAGGACGGTTCGATTTGGACCGGTTTTATAACGATTTCCTGATCGGATTGAAACGGCCGGTTTTGGTAAAAAACCGGTTCAACCGGCTGAACTGAACCGGAATGGACCGGATTGAACCGGACAGTCTTGGATTTTTGTGTTTGTTTTGGACTTCTTTGTTTGATTTTGGCTTCTATAATGATTGTTTTTATATGTTGCATTCTATTTACGTTTGTAATACTAAAAAGATGACAAGTTTTGTAATCAATGTATGCAGGATAATTAAAAACATATAAAAATATAGAACCGGTTTGACCATCCGGTTGAACCAGTTAAACCGGTTGAACCGGAAAACGTCACCCGATCGTTCAATTAAAAAACCGATTTTTAAAACATTGGGCAATTGGGGCTCGATTCAATAGTGTCATGGTGCGTTCTAACTTTGATTTGAAGAATCATTTATGAATGTTTAAATGTAAGAAACGTCATGTGTTATAATACTAGACGTGTTCAACTTTGGTAAGGAAAGTATTATGTTGTATCATAATACATCGAGTTAACTAGAAAAAGGAAAATTTTTATTTATTATATATTCAATAAATTCTAAAAATCTTAAAATGGGTTTTTAGAACAGTACATTTTTCACTTTAAGAGTGCTTATTAGCAAGTGCTTATGAACAGTACATTTTTCACTTTAAGAGTTTTGTGTTTTTAGATTTAAAGTTTTGCCACAATGATTTTGTAATTTGGCAGATTTAGTCCTTGTAGTTTTATATTGTATAGAAAAGGTCCATGTGAAGTTTTTTTTTTCTACAAAAACAGTCCATATGTTTAAGATTTTCGTATGTTGGCAGGTCTTCCTTCTATTTAGAAAATAAATTACAAAAATTATTCCCGTAATTTACAAAAAAGGTCTTTGTGCAACTTTTTTTTATAAAATACATAAATTTTTAAAAAGTATACTTATAGACAAAGCTCTTAGCCCCAAATGTATTTATAGTTTGTATATCTTTTATGGATTGATATACTGAGTTCACTATAAACAATGCTCTGATACCAATCTATCACACCCCCAAACCAGACGGCGGAAACGTCCGGGGGTGGATGACTTCATTTGTAGTATCACAACACATGCATCATAGTAATCAAAGTACAAACAACCACTGTATTTAAAAAGAAATAGTATTTACATTTGTTTCATCATTGTATATTGAAACCAAAATAGTTATACAAAATAAGAAGACATGACTCAAAATAGCTCCATCTTCTCAAAAGCTCGGGGAGTACCTGTCTACTGATTCCCTGAGAATACAAGTAATTTGAAAAGAGAGTATCAACATAAAGTTGAGTGAGTGCATAAGTATTTATGTTTGAATGAATGTGTTCTGTTTCTTGAATATGTAAACTGTTCCAGAAAATCCTATATTTTCTGTTGTATATGAAAAGTAGTTTAAATCTCATAAAGCCGTTCTGTTTGTAAAACAATGTTCTGTTTTTGTATTCCTTTATGTAAAACTTGTAACTGTGAGTCTGCCTGGTTCCACCAGCTGTTATTGTAAATTGTAATGTAATACTGTATTTGTATCTTGTAAAACTAGTACTTTGAAAATGTACTTATATTTAGTTAATTATACACTAACGTATTGTTAATATCTTTTTAATGAGTTATTATAACCATACTGACTAGATGGCCTGACCCAACGCTATGAATGTGTTGAAAGCTGTTGATAACAACTGTCACTCGTAAGCATGTATGTCTGACTGTAGCTAGCAGTCTGAGTGCGGGGTTGTCAATCCCAATATAAATCTATACACACATTGTTTCGATCCCCGACTGGAGATTCTGGTTATAATGTCAGGACTTTAACTACATTGTTTAAAGTAAATTAAACAACCTGTATCAAATGATTCATAAAAAGCATATAAACATTACATGTATATTAGTTATGAAAACCCAATCATTCTGAAATAAATGATTGACAGTATGTTCTTGAAGTAGTATTATT